TCCTTACATTCACCACTGGAATCCTTATTCCTGGTAGACCAAGGCGCATTATCACAGAAAATCCTTTGCTCGAGGGGAGAGGGGTTGTGATGTAATTTTTTTTATTTTTTGCCGTTTCAGGGGCTCTGTATGTACCGAAGGTTTCGGGAGCCCCGGTAGTTTCGTCTTCATTTACGTTCTGAATGACAGTGCCGTGATCATGACATAAGGGATAGAATAACGGATTTTGGTGCATTTCATGTACTATGTTGGATATAATAAATATTTATACTTTATATTTACTTGCTCCTTTATTAACCACTCATTGCTTTATTGAAAAATAGAAAATCAACGCCGTTCGGCTTTGAAGGGGCATCAAATGATATGCAGCGAAGCTTGTATAGACCACCTTGCGAGCCTGTGCGACCAGCTTGCACCATTTCGCAGCTTCACAAGAGTTTACAGGTTTCATCGAAGTTGAACTTGTTAGTGAACCCGAAGTAACAAAATGAACCAGCGAGTGTGCGACATGCCCCTACCAAGCCGAGAAATCTACAATAATTATTCTGGCTATTTTTAGCGTACATTTATTGTCGCACACTGTGTATGTCCTTTATGAGGTTTTTGTACCAGAAATGTCCACAAAATGGCTAGCTTTTCACCAAACAGTGCACGGTATCGATCAATAAATTGATTGGTAAACGGGGAGACGGTTAAAACCAACAATTTAATTTCTTATATGACGGCTGAATATAATCCCTTTTGTTATTTCCTTTTACAATGTCGGCTAAATATAATATTTTGCCAGTTTGAGCTCGATAGCGGATCTAATTTTAGCCACCCCCGTTTTGATGATCCCAGGCGTCCATCATTTTCCTCCTTTCATCCACTCCTCTTTTCATATCTTTCATCGCATCATGATTCCATGATCATCGCTGTCGCCAATGAAGCCGTCAATTTCTCAACGAAGAAGAATCCTAGAACGTTTATCAAGAAAATCGTGCTTACATTTATTCGGGACAGATCAAT